CCCCGACTCTCAGCCCTGCTTGGAGCTGTCAGCAGTACCGCTGGTGGTGCCGCTGTGGCTGCGTGGTTTGAGGACCAGGCTGGACCAGAAAGCAGGAGCAGCCCCGCCGGCGGCTGGAGGTTGGTTGGCCGACCTTCAGATGTCCTCCCGGCCCTAACTTCAGTTCTGCGAGGAACGAACCAGCCCAGATCTTGGCTGTCGTAAATCAAAGTCGTTCCGCTGAGGCCGATGGAGGGAGCTGCGTTTATTTAGCTCAGCTGGAGATCCGGTCTGGTGCAGTCTCAGCAGCAGTGCTGGGCAGGCTGGGCTCGCGTGGCGGGCGCATCGGGCATCTGGCCACGCGTGTGGGGCACCAGGAATGGAGGGCCCCGTGCACGTGTCCCTCACGGACTGCAGTTGCTGTGCAGCGGGGGTCCCACCGTGCAGATACTGTGTGGAGGGTCCCACCATGCAGACACAGTGCAAAGGAGGGTCTCACCGTGCAGACCCAGCTCAGGGAGGGTCTCACCGTGCAGATCCAGCTCAGGGAGGGTCTCACCGTGCAGACCCAGCACAGGGATGGTCTCACCGTGCAGATACATCCCTGCTGGCAGCCGGGAGCTGGAGATCAGCAGGTCAGCCCTCCGGGGCAGGCTTTGCTGAGCTCGTGCCTTATTGCTGCCCACATCCGGGAGAGAAGGTTTGCTCCTGGTTGGTGACAGCCACGGAGAGAACACGGTGCTGAGCGAGCCCGATTTGTGGTGGCAGGGTGGAGAGGACGCTGGGCTCCTGCAGCGACACGCTGCATCACAGCCAGGGAAGGTGCTGTGGTCTCTCCTGCTGGGCTCCGGGCCGTCGGCCAGAGGAGGAATACTGGGGCGAGACGAGGGTCTGGTTCCAGGGAAGGAGCATTTGGCCCCGAGAAGGAACGTTTGGGCCCTGGAGAAACATCTGGTCCTAGAGATGGAGTGTCTGTGGTGCGGTGGCCCCAAGCAGGACTGTGGTCCGGCAGCAGCTCCCCAGGGCTGGGAGCACAGCGTGGTCCCCGTGCTGCGTTGGGGTAGGAGGCGGTCGGCGAAGAGCCCCTGAGCTGATCCTGAGCTGGATCTTCCTCAGAGACCCCCATAAGGGCCTTGCTGCTGCGACACGGGCGCTGGGGAGCCCGGCTGTCCAGCGAGGTGGCAGGGGACCTGCGCTCCTGGTGACACGGGGATAGCAGCGGCTGTCCTGGGCAGGCAGCGGGGACAGGGATGAGGTAGTGCTCGGGGGTGACGCATTTCAGGCGCGCTGAGGACACTCGCACAGTACCAAATTTGATTTTTATTCCTGAAGTGTGGGCCAGTTCTCAAGTTGAAAAATGTATCTAATGTAAAAAATATTATCTCAGTGTTTCTTCAAGCCAAACTGAAATGTCACTTTAGAAAATGAACTAAAAAAAAAAAAAATCACCCTGAGACATTAGCTCACCGGCAAGAAAATTAGCATCACCTCAGTTGCTTCGGACGTGGACACGTCTCTGCTTTGTTCTGCATTTGCTGGAGGACGGGGCTCTTGGTTTTCTCTCCCTAAGCTGCATGTTCCCCAGACCAGCTGGGGCTTTGAGTGGTGGCAGAAAGGTGCCATGGAAGGGGCATGCCCAGCCTGGCGAGGTCTGTGTTTAACAGCATGAGAATGGCTGGAGCATGAGAAGAAAAACCCGTTCCATGGCATGGCTGCGTAGTGCCGCATCCTGAGAGCAAGGTTATGCTTTGCTGATGTAAAGCCCCAAATCAGTACGGGGACTTGGTGAGGGAGGGGACATTGGATCCCACCGGTAGAGCTGCTTTGCGACCCAGGCTGTGATCCCTGCATGCCCACTGCAAGAAGCGAGGCAAGCATTGCAGCCATGGGTTGGGAGCCGGCAGGAGATACAGGTGTTGGAGGACAAGAGAGGTTTTGTAAGTGGCCCAGTGCCTGGATGCTCGGTGCGAGGTAGGAAAGCTGAGGACCGCAGATTGGGAAGAGAGGTCCTGGAAGGAGACTTGGAGCTCTAGGTGGGCCCCCAGAGGCTCCAGGAACTGGCCATGTGAGGGAGGGCAAATCTCAGGCGGGGCAGGCAAGGTCCAGAGGGTACCGGGAGTTTTTAGTGATGGTGGTTGAGAAGACTGGAAAGGCCTTCAGAGGGTGACTGGGCAGCCGCTTGCTCCGGAGGTGCGGCTGGAGCATGGGGAGAGCTGGACGGACGGCTCTGAGTTTTGTAGCTCAGCCTGTGGCTGGAAAAGCAGCTTTGGAGCTGCTGAGCTGGGAAGGGGACAGTGCCTGAGCCCCTGTGGCAGCAGGTAGAGTTTTAGCTAAAAATGCAGTCACCACAACCCATGGCTGGCAGGTGCCAGTTGCTGGGATGGATCCATCTCCTCCGCTGCTGGGATGGAACCGTCTCCTCCGCTGCTGGGATGGATCCACCTCCTCCGCTGCTGGGATGGATCCATCTCCTCCGCTGCTGGGATGGAACCACCTCCTCCACTGCTGGGATGGATCCACCTCCTCCGCTGCTGGGATGGATCCATCTCCTCCGCTGCTGGGATGGAACCACCTCCTCCCCTGCTGGGATGGATCCACCTCCTCCGCTGCTGGGATGGATCCATCTCCTCCGCTGCTGGGATGGAACCACCTCCTCCCCTGCTGGGATGGATCCACCTCCTCCGCTGCTGGGATGGATCCATCTCCTCCGCTGCTGGGATGGAACCACCTCCTCCCCTGCTGGGATGGATCCACCTCCTCCGCTGCTGGGATGGATCCATCTCCTCCGCTGCTGGGATGGAACCACCTCCTCCCCTGCTGGGATGGATCCACCTCCTCCGCTGCTGGGATGGATCCATCTCCTCCGCTGCTGGGATGGAACCACCTCCTCCCCTGCTGGGATGGATCCACCTCCTCCGCTGCTGGGATGGATCCATCTCCTCCGCTGCTGGGATGGAACCACCTCCTCCCCTGCTGGGATGGATCCACCTCCTCCGCTGCTGGGATGGATCCATCTCCTCCGCTGCTGGGATGGAACCACCTCCTCCCCTGCTGGGATGGATCCACCTCCTCCGCTGCTGGGATGGATCCATCTCCTCCGCTGCTGGGATGGAACCACCTCCTCCCCTGCTGGGATGGATCCACCTCCTCCGCTGCTGGGATGGATCCATCTCCTCCGCTGCTGGGATGGAACCACCTCCTCCCCTGCTGGGATGGATCCACCTCCTCCGCTGCTGGGATGGATCCATCTCCTCCGCTGCTGGGATGGAACCACCTCCTCCCCTGCTGGGATGGATCCACCTCCTCCGCTGCTGGGATGGATCCATCTCCTCCGCTGCTGGGATGGAACCACCTCCTCCCCTGCTGGGATGGATCCACCTCCTCCGCTGCTGGGATGGATCCATCTCCTCCGCTGCTGGGATGGAACCACCTCCTCCCCTGCTGGGATGGATCCACCTCCTCCGCTGCTGGGATGGATCCATCTCCTCCGCTGCTGGGATGGAACCACCTCCTCCCCTGCTGGGATGGATCCACCTCCTCCGCTGCTGGGATGGATCCATCTCCTCCGCTGCTGGGATGGAACCACCTCCTCCCCTGCTGGGATGGATCCACCTCCTCCGCTGCTGGGATGGATCCATCTCCTCCGCTGCTGGGATGGAACCACCTCCTCCCCTGCTGGGATGGATCCACCTCCTCCGCTGCTGGGATGGATCCATCTCCTCCGCTGCTGGGATGGAACCGCAGGCAGTTTCACAGGCTCCGGGCGCGGGACTCCGGAGCAGTTGTCCTGTCTCTGCACACCCAGTCTGGAGGTGGCCGTGGGTGCCCTGACCCTGTCAGCAGCCCCCGGAGCTGTCCTGTGTCCCCGCCTCTCCCCCAGCCATGTCCCCAAACCTTCCTTTCGCTCCCAGACCTCGGAGTGTCTCTAACCGGTGTTGACCATCCTGGGCTGGTCTCCGCAGCCTGGTGAGGACTCTGTGTTCCCGGGAAGCTGGACGAGGAGAGGATCTGCGGGCAGGCTAACGCGGAGCGTCCCTTCCCGTTGCAGCGACCACCCCCTGAGCCAGCTGGTCTCGGACTCGGACTCGGAGATGGGCAGCGCGGAGCGGCTGGCCCTGGGCAGCACGGACACCCTCTCCAACGGGCACAAGGCTGAGCTGGAGGCTGCCAAGCGCCTGGCCAAGAGGCTCTACAACCTGGATGGCTTTAAGAAAGCAGATGTGGCCCGTCACTTGGGGAAGAAGTACGTGTGGGTATTTGCAAGGAACGACCCGTTCTGCGAGGGGCCCGCTGCACCCGCGGTGTACCCGCGGCTGCTCCCCCGGGCTGCACCCGCGTTGGACCCGCGGCTGCTGCCCTGGCAGGACCCCGGAGCCCGGTCCCCGGGGCTGGTACGCCTGGTGCAGATGTGCCAGGTGTTCCCTCTGAAGGTCTTAGAACCTAAGAGACATCCTGGCTTTGGTACCTTCCTGCCATGACTGCACCCTGGGTGCTTCAGTGAGGCGTCGGGGCAGGGGGGCAGGTCGCTGGCCTCTCGTGGGCCCTTCCAGCTCTGGCTCCTCTGGTTTCTCTTACATTCCCAGTATTCCCACTGGATCTGTGGTTGACTCTTCCGAGTTTCACGGGAGTGTGGGGTGTCACGCTTCCCGCAGCCCTGGGGAGCTCCCAGCCTCTGGGAATCCACCCCTGTGTGCCTCTTGCTGTCCCCACCGTCTGGTCGATCCCACTCTTGCTCCTCCCCCTTTTCTTTTCCAGCAATGAGTTCAGC